TTCTTTCTTTCTTTCTTTCTTTCTTTCTTTCTTTCTTTCTTTCTTTCTCTTCCTCTCCCTTTCTCACGACCTCTAACTTGTTATGTAGCCAAGGATGACTTTGAACTCTGGATCTTCCTGCTTCCTCTTCCCAAGTGCTAGGTTAAAGGGGATGCAGCGCCATGCTAGTTTTATATAGCACTGGGGTGCTGTATGCAGAACCTGGCACTCTGTGTGCTAGGCAAGCACTCTACCAACTGAGCTACAGCTTCACTCCTGGTTTTGATTTTTGAGATGGGATCTCAGGTACCACAGAGTTACAGACTGCATTCCAACTCACTGAGGCTGGGCTTGAACTCCTGATCCTCCTGCTTTTACCTCCCAAGTGCTGAGATTATAGAATGTCATCATCAAATGTAGAAGCTAAAAAAAAAAAAAATGATCTTATTGTGTAACCTAGCTTGGACTTGAATTTATAGTAATCCTCCTGTCTCAGCCTCCAGAGTCCTGGGATTACAATTCTGAACCACCACACCTGTCCTTCTTTACTGCTAAGTTACATATCCCAGGAGTCCCTGCTGTGTAGCTGTCCTATTGCTGGCCCATGTCGGGGACACAGAGGAGGCAGAAAGAGCCCCTACCCTCAGACCTGCAGAAGGGGCGGGTGCAGCCTCTAAAAGGGGCAGCTAGGGTGAGTAATGTAGGAATGGGGGAGTCCAGGTGGTACTCTCCCAAAATCTCAGGAGGCAGAAGCAGGAGGATAGTAAGTACAAGACCAGCCTGTATATTGGGTTCCAGGCCAGCTAGGGTTACATAGAAAGACCTCCAGGGTTTTTGTTTGTTTAGTTTTTAAAAAGAGCGAGTGAGGAAGAAAAAAAGGACCAGTGAGAGGATTCAGTGGGCAAAGGCACTTGTCACCAAGCCTGAGGGTATGATATGAGTCTAATCCCCAGGAAGTACGTGGTAAAGGACAGAAATGACTCCTTCAAGTTGTCCTCTGTCCTCTCTATACAGTGTGAACACATACATGTGTGCACACAGGTACACACACACATGCACACACACGTGCACAAATTAATTTAAAAAGAGAATGCCTTATGCAACGAATGGAAGCATCACCTGTCAATAAAATGCAGTTGACCTGTTGCAGGAAATGGGGAGCTGGAAGTTCTGTTCCGAGAGAGGATTTCTGGGACAGAGTCGGATACTAAAGTTTCGCCCCAAATTCTGAGGAAGACGGTCACATGAGCCTGAGAAGAGATAAGTAACCTTGGGGCAGCACTTAGAAGAAGGTAAACATGATAACTGAGTTAGGGGCTATCAGGAACAAGCCAAAGCTTTTGGCCTAGGCAACTATTCATAATAATTCAGTCTCAGAGTTTTCATTTTGTGAAATTGGGGGAGCCCGTGTGGTTACATCCCTCCCCAGGTCAGGCTGCCTCAGTGGGTTAGGGTTAGGTTCCACAGCAATGACAAAGGGTCCCGACTTCCTGCTGGGTTACAAAGACAGGCTTTAGAGGCTGGAGAGATGGCTGCTCTACCAAAGGACCCTGTTTCACTTCACAGCACCCACATGGCGGGCTCACAACCATCTGTGACTACAGATCCAGCAGCCAATCCAACGCCCTCTTTCAGCCTCTAGGGACGTCAGACAAGCATATGCTGTACATACGCAGATGCCGGTGAAACACCCATACATGTAAAATACACGTAAAATAATAAAACCAAATAAAACACAGAAGCAAAGGTTTATTGCTCAGTTGTATAACTTGTCCAGAGTCTAATAGATCTGTCCTGCTTCTCTCCTTCTCTTCTTCCTTTCCTTCCTTCCTCCTTCCCCCTCTCCCTTCCTTAAGAGAAGAAAAGAAAACCTTTTTCTTTTACAGTGTGTGTAGTTAAATTCCTAAACAGTTCGACATTGGCAAAATGGTTCAATATTGGTAGAAACGGGATGGGTTCCACATTCCAGCTTCATTTCTCATTCCTTGGCTACTCTCTGTGGTTGCAGAATTCGAACGTTTGGTCAGTGTGCAAACTCACCGAAGAGTTCTGCAGGAACCCTGTGGCTGGGAACACTTCCTGTCTCCCAGTGGGGGCTTTGACCTTGCTAAAATCACCTTCTAGTGAATAGGTAGGTTTGAAAGGCCAGCAGGAAACAGATCATTTATGTCATTAACTCCTAGCTCCTGTGCTTTTGACAGCTGAAATGTGTACAGTCCAGTGGGTGGACTTGGGTTTAACCTAATGAACTGTGGGAACTGAAACAAATACACAACAGAATTATGTGTGGATGAATGCTGCTTTTTTTTTTTTTGGTTTTTCGAGACAGGGTTTCTCTGTGTAGCCCTGGCTGTCCTGGAACTCACTCTGTAGACCAGGCTGGCCTCGAACTCAGAGATCCGCCTGCCTCTGCCTCCCAATTGCTGGGATTAAAGGCGTGCGCCACCACCGCCCGGCGAATGCTGCTTTTCTTACTAAGCCTGGAAAACATGGCTGCCAGGAAGACAGTATGTAGACAGGGTGGCAGAGAAGGCTCAGTGAATGAAGGTCCTTGCTGCCTTGCTTGAAGATCTGACTTCTATCCCTAGGACCTAGAAGGTAGAAGGAGAGACTCTACTAATATTGCAAGTTGTCCTCTGGTTTCAACACATTCGTGAGCATGCACACACACGGTAAATAAAGAAATGTTATTTTAAAATGCCTTTTTAATAATGAAAAGATGATGTAATGTTTTCATAAAACCTATCTATATACATCCTCCATATAGTTTTTTGATTTGAGACAGGGTGTCACAGTGTGGCCCAGATTGGCCTGCCTCTCACTCCAGGGTAGCTTCTTCTGCGTTACTACAATTCTGCCTCAGCCCTGTGAGTGCTGGGATTTCAGTAGACTACACTATCCTTCAAAAGCTATTATGGACCTGGGTGGTGGTGAGGGTGGCACACACTTTTAATACCCGCAGGGAGGCAGAGGCAGGTGGATCTTGGAGTTTAAGGCCAGCCTGGTTTATAGAGAGAGTTCTAGGACAGCCAGAGCCACACAGAGAAATCCTGCTTGCTCCTCCAACAAGCCCCCTCTGCCCTCTCTCAGGCTGGCCTTTCCCTTTACTCCCGATGTTGCTGATGTCCGTGGCCCGGGCTGGCCATGACCTTGGAATCCTTCCAAAGTTAGGATTGCAGACCTGAGAGCTGCAGGTGAGGTCCTCCCCAAAGGCTGGTAGAACAGACCGAGCCCTGTAGCTTCCTCTGCTCTACCTACGGTTATGCACCAGGCTTTCCAAAAGAGACATTCTTCAGGGCATTTCCCAGGTGGTCACCAGAGCCCAGGAAGGGATTCTTGGCTTTCCCCCCACCTCAGCCCAGCCTCTCACTGCCTGGCTTCACCCTTTGGGAAGCCCCAAGCCTTTCTCTCACTGATGAAATCCAAAGGAATCCGGGTAGGAGGTTGGGCCAGTGGGAAGAGAGCTGGCTGAAACCAGTTTGAGTATTTCTCTTACTGGGGGCAGCCAGCGGGGCAGAACACTCCCAACCAATCTGATCCACAAACTTCAACCTCATTTTCCTGGCTCAGACTCACCCTACACGTCCCAAAGATTCTGGGTTCAGGAGGCCTCTTTCCTCCTCCTTCTCTCTAACTCTGTTTTGTTGTTGTTGTTGTTTTGGTTTTTTGGTTTTTCGAGACAGGGTTTCTCTGTATAGCCCTGGCTGTCCTGGAACTCACTCTGTAGACCAGGCTGGCCTCGAACTCAGAGATCTGCCTGCCTCTGCCTCTCAAGTGCTGGGATTAAAGGCGTGCGCCACCACTGCCAAGTCCTAACTCTGTTATTCTTACCCTTCGAGGGTAACAGTGTCTAGACAAGGAATGGAGTTTGTGGTGAACTGGCCATTTAAAACAAAAATTTTGCTACATTTATTTATATATTTGTGTGTGTGTTGCATGTGCCATGCTCCTGTGGGGAGCACCCATTCTGTGACTGTCTGAGGAAAGAGACTGCTTTGCTGCTCAAGCATGAGGACCTGGGTTCGAATCCACCACCTTCATGTAAAAGCTTGGCACAGTGAATGATAATAACTAATTCTGCTGCTGGCAGACACAGACCAGACACGAGGACCTCATGGGCTTGCTGGCCCCATGAGCTTGCTGGCCCCAAGCCTAGCCAAAATTTCTGTGAAAGACCCTGTCTCAAAAAATGATTCTACAGACTGTTTCTTTTTCTATATGTAGCACTGGCAGTCCTAGAATTCCCTCTGAAGACCAGGGCTGGCCTTGAACTCACAGAATTCTGCCTGCCTCTGCCTCCTGAGAGCAGGGATTAAGTGTATGTGCCACTCATCTGTCTGACCTTTCTAGGGGTCCTGCTGTGGATTATCAGATATTACCCACAATTAGGTTCTTTTGACCGGGGTGGGGGGGAGGGTTGGGGGAAGTGGGGGGGTTAGGTTCTTATGGGTGTGGGTTGGATGGTTTCCCAACGCCCCGCCCCTTTTAGAGCCTTTGCACCCTCTCTGGCCCTGCCCCCTTGCCGGCCCCGCCCCTGGCTATACATTGTTATTCAGCCTTGGTTGCCCTCTATGATCTTGGCTCCGCCCCTCGCTCACCACCTGGCGCCGAATGTTCCATAACCAATCAGCGCTTGCGGGCCGGCCTCCGCCTTTTCAAGTCCCGCCCTCCGCCTTTAATCCTGGTCGTTTCCGTCCAGCAGCCTCAGAGCCACGCGGCGCGGCGCGGCCTGGGAGGTGTCTCCTTGGCCTGTTGGCGCCACTTTCCATATCCCCCGGCTGCTTCCTATTTGCATCTGGAAATCTGGTTTTCTCTCCAGAGCCCGAGACGCTCAGTCCACTCCTTCTAGGGTTCCAGTACCCAAGAGTCCAAGATCCGAGTCCCGGGATCACTGATCTCGGTCTCCTGGAGCCAGGCATCCCGGATCTACGCCACCTGGGTTGAGCTTTTTGAAGACCTCGGCTACCTGACCGACCTTAATCCTTGAGGGAATCAAAGACCCCCCCCACGTCCTGGTTTGAAGAACTGTTCTCCACCCCAATAAAAAAAGAAAAGCTACCCAGGCTCTCTCAACTCACAGTTTTTGGGGATTCGACATCACTGGGAAAAATAAAGGGATCTCCGCGCACAGCCCAGGGAGCTTAGGACCCTCCAGTCTCCGAGATCCAGTGGACGCACAACTTCAAGGACCGTTGCAAAGTTTCAGCCTCCACTCTCCGTCCTAAGGACGTCACACCCAGTCTCTAAGTGCATAAGGAATCCTCTTGTTGAAGCTCAGCATGGCAGTGGATCCACCTAAGGCTGACCCCAAAGGGGTGGTGGCAGTGGATTCCACCGCGAACGGTAGCCCCGCTCTGGTATCCAGAGAGGACCCGGGTGCGAAAGCAGGTGGTTGCTGCGGTTCCCGGGACCAGGTGCGCCGCTGCCTTCGCGCCAACCTGCTGGTGCTGCTCACGGTGGCAGCGGTGGTGGCTGGCGTGGTGCTAGGGCTGGGGGTCTCAGCGGCGGGCGGTGCTGACGCGCTGGGCCCCGCGCACTTGACGGCTTTCGCCTTCCCGGGAGAGCTGCTGCTGCGTCTGCTGAAGATGATCATCCTGCCGCTCGTGGTGTGCAGCCTGATCGGAGGTGCAGCCAGCCTGGACCCTAACGCGCTCGGCCGTGTGGGCGCCTGGGCGCTGCTCTTTTTCCTGGTCACCACACTGCTCGCGTCGGCGCTCGGTGTGGGCTTGGCCCTGGTGCTGAAGCCGGGCGCCGCTTTTACCGCCACCAACGACTCTGTTGTAGACACCTGTGGCAACAATGCACCCACCAAAGAGGTGCTGGATTCCTTTCTGGATCTTGTGAGGTGAGTTTCCGCCAGGCGGTGGGGTGGAAAGGGGCCAGTGCGACGTGCAGTCTTTCTGCTTTACCCCTCTGGAGTGCAAAGATTACACGTATGTGCTGCCACTAGTGACCAAGCTTGGGTACTCCAGAAAGAGACATGCCTTCTAGAGTCTAGGAAAAACAAGGTAATGGTGAAGGACCGCTCACATCTTGGAAGGGTGAGCTTTTACGGAAGTCCTCTTAAATTTGGGGGCGGGCCTAGACATAGAGGGCTTTTAGGAGGAAGGAAAAAATAGTAAACCCTCTTAGTCTTGTTATGCTTTTTGGAGACAGAGTGCAGGGTCTGGTACAGCTTACCATGGCCTTGAACCCCGTATCTCCCTACCTCCATCACCCAAGTGGTGGCTGGGATGAAGGAGCATCGTTTTTGCTTACTGAAAACACGTCTGCTACAAGGAGCTCAGACTGCTCTCCTCGCGTCAGCCTCCTTCCTCGGCTTGCCGGGGAAGTGTTATAAGAGATATAAGGACTGTCCTAAGAAGAGCCACACCCACCCCCCGCCCCCGCCCCGCTCCTTCCCCCTAAAATGTATGAAGAACTACAACAACAACAAACAACTACTGGGAGGGATTCTTTGGGTAGCAAAGCGGACAGAGATGAGGCTCCTGGGTAAGGATTCCTGGACCCAGGTTCTGGGACCTTTTTACTCGTCTGAGCCGCTTGGAAGCCCAGTGGTGACGTGAGGGACTGCCTGATTCCCAGTGAAAGAAGTGTCACCGGAACACAGCTGCTCCTTCTTCTTTTTTTCCCGAAGCACAGCTTCTTGTTCACTCTCTCTAACCGCACTTAGCTCACCTGAGGCAGGCAGCCAGCCTTCCCGTGCCTTCTTCTCCCTCCCTACCCTACCGTCTCATTTCCTCTTGTATGCCCCCCTTCAGTGCCTTCCCCAAAGAGGAGAGTGACATTTATCCTTCTTGTACCCTCTCCACTTTGGAGGACTCACTCCGGGTCCACGTGGCCCTGCCATGTGGACGTCTGATTCAGTATCTTCAGATTGGGGACTTCCTGGAAGGAAGCCAGACGCGGGGGTGGGGGGTGGGGTGGGGGATGTGGAAATAGTGAGTCAGAAAACGGGGCACCCTCTGCTTCTGGGCCATAGTATGGGATGACATGGAGGATTGGGCACTCAGTGTTCATATTGAGGGTACCTTCTGGCTCGTAGAGATTAGCTGGCTCTTGGGCCCTGCCCTGGGCTGCAAGTAGGCACACCCACCTTCAGGCTGTTTATGAGCAGAGGCTTTTCCTCCCATGCGAGCTCCAAACAGCTGGAACTCACAGTTGGCTTATTGACCACTCTCTTGGCCAGAATACTTCACACTCCGCTTTCAGGCAGATAAACATGGGCGCTCAGAAGCCCACGTGGGCTTAAACTAGCTGTGAGGTACCCACGCGGGACTAGGCACGCTTTACATTTTTATTTAATGTGTACGAGGGTCTTGCCTGCATGTATGTGTGTGCACTACATGTGTGCCTGGTGCCTGAAGATGCCAAAAGATTTCCTGGAACTGAAGTTAGAGGTGGTTGTAAGCTGCCATCTGTATGCTGGCAATCTTTATCTAGCTCCCCTGACCCCCAAGACTCCTGCACTAGAACTTTTAGCGGGATCATTTTCTTTTTGTGTTTTTCTTCCCCCCTCACCCCCACCCCCGATGGGGGGGATAAGATTTCTCTGTTCCTGGGACTCATAGAGAGGCACCTGCCTCTTGCCCCCTGAGTGCTGGGTTACAAGGCGTGCACCACCACTGGCATGGTGCCTCTTTCAGTCCTGCCCTGCCATGGGAATGCTTGAGCCCGTGTTCAAGAGGGTTGGTAGTACAGGTCAGACATGACCGCCCACACCACCAAGCCCCAGCATGGTAAGGTGGAAGCAAGATCAAGAGTTCTAGGCCATTCTGGGCCATATGAGGACCTCTCTTCTCCCTCCCCACCCCCCAAGAACAAGGACAAAGTCTCACTTTAGAAAGTTTCTTGCCTTTCTGTGCCTCAGTTCCCTTTACTTATCTATGGGTTTTTAGACAGGGTCATACTGCGTCACCTTGTCCTTGCAACTGTCCCCATGCCTGCACCAGCACACCTGGCTGGAGTCTCCTTCAGTTAAGAAAGAGCTGGCTATGTAAAGCAGCAGCTGTGCCACCTGGCATACGGCAGACACGCGCCACTCACAAGTGGCTGTGCCAGGACAGATGCATATTCATGACCGGAACAGCGGTCCCATCCCTTGTGGCTTTAGCCTTCCAAGCCACGATCCATCATGCCAGGGTCCTCCCCATGCACCCCGACCCACCAGCCTGCTCCTTAGGGATCACCCTGGCCTTAGCTCTCCAGGAAGTAGCTGATGCAAGACGCCCTGGGTATTAAATGGTTGCTGGGGGTGGGGGTGGAGCTGGGGCCTGGTGTGACCCTGCCCTTGCCTGCCTCTCCAAAGTCTAGTTGTTTTTTTTTTTTTTCCTTCCTAACCCATAATCCCTTGGTTCTGAAACACCAACTTCCTGGGGCCAGAAGAGGGCAATTGAAACTCCCACATCCTGGAAAAGGTGTGCTGGCCTGCTGGTGTTAGACTGTCTGTACCTCCAGCTACCCTACAGGTCTGAGGCAAGTCTGGGCTTACACAGTTTAAGGCTAGCCTGGGTAACTTAGTAAGATCCCCTGTCTCAAAAAAATAAAAGTAGCTCTGAGGATGTAGTTCAACAGTAGAGCGGGCAAGGAAGGTCCTTGTGGTCTACTTCTATTATGGAAAAAAAAAAATTGATAGGGGTGAGGCTCAGGGCTTAAGGACCTTTTTTTTTTTTTTTTTTTCCCCAAGCCTGATGACCTGAGGTTGCTCTCTGGAACCCACACAATAGATGAAGAAAACAGACTCCTGCACACAAATAGGGGCACACATACTCTCCCCGCCCCAAGTAATTAAACGTTTATGGCCAGGCATGGTGGTGCAGGCCTTTAATCCCAGCACAATGGCAGGGGCAGGCGGAGCTCTGTGAGTTCAAGGCCAGCCAGGGCTACATTGTGAGACACTATCAAAAAAAAAAAAAAATTGTATGTAGGGTGGGGTTGTGTGTCTGAAGGATGTGACCGTAATCCTAGTACCTAGTACTTCATGAGCCCCTTTCTTAAGCAACCAAGAGAGATCCCTGTCACCAGCCTCCAGGAGGCCAGCCCTGTCCCTCTCGGCCTGCCTCCTCTCTACCCTGCCATGACAGTATCTAACATCAGTTTCTATTTCTGCAGAAATATTTTCCCCTCCAATCTGGTGTCTGCTGCCTTCCGCTCTGTGAGTCCTCTGGGGTGTGCCATGGGGCTCAGGGGCTGGGGTGGTGATGGACAAGAAAAGGAAAAATCCATGTAGGAGCTTGCCTCGAGAGTCCTGGGCTTGCCACTGAGACTCGTCTATGCCTCACTCATTAAGAAATGAGATTCTGGGGGGCTGGCCAGACAACAGGCAGCCATGCGCTGCGTGAGCCAACAGCCTCAGTTCGATTCTCAGAACACGCAGTTGTCCTCGGACCTCCAAACATTCAGGGGTACACGTGCGCACGTGCATGAGTGAGTGTGTGCACATGCCACTCCCCCCCACACCCACACAAAGTTAAATGTTGAAAAGAAAGAGATGAGACTATGGGAGAGACTTGGTGGCGCCTGTAATACTAGCTCAGAAGGGCTGAGGTTGAGCGGAGAGTTCAGGCTACACAGGAGATAGTATCTCAATAAATGAAACTGGCGTGAACGGCTCTTACCTGTAATCCCAGCACTTGGGAAGTGGATGAGGAAGGACCAGGAGTTCAGGGTTATCCTTGACTACATAGGGAGCTAGAAGTCAGCCTGGGCTACAAGAGACCTTGTTTTTAAAAAGGTAAAGGATGGGAGGAACGAGGGATGCTTGGGGCTTTGTTCTGAGTGTGGTGTGAAGTAGCTTTGGTGACAATTGACACTGATTTATTTTTCCCACCCCATCTGCAGTTTTCTACCTCGTATGTACCAAGACGACAGTGCACCGGGAATACAGAGCTTTGCCACTGCCCCAGGGTAGGTTTTCAGTTTTGCCCACCCCTTCCCCTCTTTGTCTTTTGAATCTTCCAAGAGGTTAGTGTGGATTTAGATTTAAATTTGGGATTAGTATGCAATCCTTGAGAGATTGGGGTTGTGGCCCAGTGGGTAGAGAGCTTGCCTCACAGGCTCAAAGCCCTGGGTTCCATCCCCAGCCCCGTGTGAACCAGCCATGCTGGCACATACCTGTGATTCCAGTAATCAGTAGGAATACAGATATTTCAAGAGCTGGGGGTCATCTTTGGCTACATAGGGAGTTCTAGACTAGCCTAGGCTACAAGAGGCTATCTTAAAAGTTGGGGATGGAGGGGTTGGGCGGGGCCAGAGTGGAGCAGGTTTTGGGCATTGCTGTTTCTAGCATGGTGGGGGGGGGGTGGCCATGATGACAGTTGACACTAATCCTTCCAACCCTGTCTGCAGGAAACTTGCGCCTGTACGGAACAGAGAGAGATCAATGCAACCATGGTCCAGGTGAGCCAGACAAGGGCGGAGGAAGCGCCACACCACTGGCCCTTTGTGGCTTTTCAGTTTGCCTCCCACCCTTTGCTGTTTGTGTCGCCCCCCCCCCCGCAAAAAAAAAAAAAAAACGTATAGTGTGAGGGCTGGATCCAGAGATGGCTGAGCGGTTAAGTCTGTCCACAGTATCCAGAGTCCCCAGTGCCATGTCCCCCTTTCTCTCTAGAGTCCCTATGGATAAGGTGCTTACTTCCCACTCCCACCCCCCTCCAGCCTCATCTTGTAACCCCGTGTGCTTCGTGCATTTCCGGTTAGGCGGGTTAGGTTTCTTCTCATTGTCTGCTCAGTTTATACTCATTTCTGGGTTCTGCTCTCTAGAACCTCGTGTAAATGTGTGTGCTCCTGAGCATGTGCACACACCAGGGTGCACGTGTAGAGGTCAGAGGACAACCTGTGGGAGTCGGTTTTCTCCGTCCACCATGTAGGTCTCTCTAGAATCTGACCTGTGTGAATAGCCTTCGTAGCAAGTAACGACTTGCTGAGCTATGTCAGTACCCCCCACACACTCCCCCCCTTAAAAAAAAAAAGACTGATTGATGTGTGTTGCTTTTGTGCACAGAGGCCACTTGGAGCTGAAGTTGGAGGTGTCTGTAGGACCCTCGGCTTGTGACATGGATGTTGGGATCCATGTTCCGTTCCAGCCCCGTCTCCTCCGAGCTGGCATCTCCTCTCAGGGCCTGCCTTGTTTGGGTTCCCTCCTAATTTTGCTTTTTATTGCTGTGAGACACATCATGGCCAAAAAAGCAACCTGGGAAGGAAAGGGTTTGTTTCATCTTACCGCTGTGTACAGTCCTTCTTCACAAAGAGACTCTGGGGCAGGGACCTGGCGCAGGGACTGAAGCAGAAGCCAAGGGGGAGTGCTACTTATTGGCTTGCTCAGCGTGCTCAGAGTCCAGAACCATCTGCCTTGGGTGGTGTTCGGACTGAAGTGGGCTGAGCCCTCTCACATCAATTTTTTTTGTTTTAAGGTAGGGTTTCTCTGTGTAGACCTGGTTGTCCTGGAACTTGCTCTGTAGACCAGGCTGGCCACAAATTCCGAGATCTGCCTGCCTCTGTCTCCCGAGTGCTGGGGTTAAATGTGTGCCCCACCATGTCTGGCTCCCACATCAATGTTTTCATTTTTTAATTTTTATTTCTTTCTTATTCATTCACTTTACAGCCTGATTGCTGCCCCCTCCCAGTCACCTCCTCCCACAATCCTCCCCCCCCACCCCCATCCTCCTTCCCTTCTCTGAGAGGGCGGAGGCAACTCCTGGGTATCTCCCCAACCCTGGCACATCAAGTCTTCTGTGGGGCTTGGTGCATCCTCTCTCACTGAGGCCAGACAAGGCAGCCCAGCTAGAAGGACATATTCCACAGACAGTCAACAGGTTTAGGGACAGGACAGCTCCTGCTCTAGTCGTTTGGAACCCACATGAGGACTGAGCTGCACATCTGCTACATATTTTTTGGCTTTTTAAGACAGGCTTTCCTCTGTGTAACCTGGCTATCCTGCAACTAGGCAGAATTGCGGGAGGGGGTGACTGGGAGAGGGGCAGGGGCAGCAATTGAGATGTAAAGTGAATAAATAAAAAACAGAAATGAAAATGAAAAAAAAAATGATGGTGGTGGAATATACATTTAATCCCATCACTTGGGAGGCAGAGGCAGCCAGATCTCTGAATTTGAGGCCAGCCTGGTCTCAAGGAGGTCTAGGTCTAGCCTATGCATGCTCTTTGGTTGGTGGTTCAGTTTCTGAGAGCCCCAAAGGTCCAGGTTAGTTGACTCTGGTCTTCCTGTAGGGTTCCTATCCCTGTAATCCTTGCCCCACACACACACACAATTGTCTACAGGCCAATCAGAGAGAGGCTTTTTCCCAGTTGAGGTTGTTCCTCCTTGTTCCTCCTAGCTTGTGTAAAGCTGACAAAAATAAATAAAAAAACAAATAACCAGGACCGGTTAGTTCCAGCCCCGCTCGTCAGTAAGTACTCGCTAGCTCTGCAGATGGAGTGATGCTCTCTCTCTCTCTCTCTCTCTCTCCCCCCCCCCCCCCCCTTGCTCTGTTCTTTCTGGAAGCTTGGTTGTGAGGTGGAGGGGATGAACATCCTGGGCCTGGTGGTGTTTGCTATTATCTTCGGTGTGGCTCTAAGGAAGCTGGGGCCCGAGGGTGAGCTGCTCATTCGTTTCTTCAACTCCTTCAACGATGCCACCATGGTCCTGGTCTCCTGGATTATGTGGTAGGTGTTGGGGACATGTCTGTTCTGTGATGGGGAGGGAGGTGGGGGAGAGGGAGACTCCCAGTGTGCTTCCTAGAGCCTGAGGGGGTCTGCATTCAGATCTTGTGTCCACCATTCCCAGGCTGTGTGACTTTGTGTGAGTGACTTGTCTTCTCTGTGCCTCAGCTTCCCCATTTGTAAACAGTGACCATCCTGTAGTCCGTGGGTGCTAGTACTGATACATTTGCCTTACCTGGTTGCCACAGAGTATAGGTGAACCACAGAAGCACAGGAAAGAGGTGTATTTGGGGCCAGGGTATCACTCAGCTGGAGAGTGCTTGCCTCACAGGTGCTGTGAGCACTCTGTGGTCTATTCCTGTGCCCGATTCTAACCATTGAGAAGCCTCTGGTGTGAGTACTGTCCTGCAGTTCTTCATAAATGACTCCAGGAAATGAAAGCGAAAACCACATGCAGGGGCCTCTGGCTTTCCTCCCGTCTATCTGTCTCACATCGACTCCACCCACCTGGCCTGGATCTAGAGATCACAAGTTGAGAGAAAGGACAAGATGGTTACTCCAAACCAAAAAAAAGAAAAAAAAAAGAAAGAAAGAAAGAAAGAAAGATAAATAAATAAATAATAATAATAACAACAACAACAATAACTAACTCCCCAGATTCCAACATACAGAACTTTCTTGGGGCTGGAAAGATGCCTCAGTGGTTAAGAGCCCTGGCTTCTTATACCCAGCATCTACATGGTGTCTTGCAAGCATTTCTAACTCCAGTTCCAGGGATTCTGTTGCCCCCTTCTGGCCTGTATGGGCAACTGCACTCATGTGGTACACAGCCATACACGCAAAACCTCCGACACATAAAATAAAAATAAATCTTTTTTAAAAAGTAACTTTCCAATGGCCGGAGTGATGGCTCGGGGGTTGACAGCACTCAGTGCTCTTCCAGAGGACCTAGGTTTGATTTCAAACATCCACATGACTGCTGGTAATCATTTGTAATTCCGATTCCAGGGGTCAGACCCCCTCTACTCGAAACCAGATATGCACCTGATGAATAGACGACCATGTAACCCAAACACTCATCCGCATAGAATGAAATGGGGAGATCCTAGCCAGGCATGGTGGTACATGCCTTTAATATCAGGACTCAAGAGACAGAGGCAAGTGGGTGAATCTTTGTGGGTTTAAGGTTAGTTTGTTCTACGTAGCGAGTAGTAGCCAGTACCAAACAGTGAGGCAAACTGTGAGACACTGTCTTTAAAAAAAAAAAATGCACAGAGCAGTGGTGGCGCATGCCTTTAATCCCAACACTTGGGGGGCAGAAGCAGGTGGATCTCTGAGTTTCAGACCAGCCGGGGCTACACAGAGAAACCCTGTCTCAAGGAAAACAAAACAAAACAAAAAAACAAAAATGCCAAATTTTGGTGTATGCCTTTAATGCCAGCATTCAAGAGGCAGAAGCCGGCGGATCTTTGTGAGTTCAAGGCTAGACCAGGGCTACACAAAGAAACCCTGCATCAAAAAGCCAAGACAAAACCAGCCATGCTCATTGGGTATGCCTTTTTGTTATAGATTTTTGGAAATAGGGTTTTACTATGTAGCCTAGACTTGCCCTAAACTCAGAATTTCCCTACTCTTGGACCCAAGTGATGGGAACACAGACACCCACCACATTCAGTGCTGTGTGTGTGTGTGTGTGTGTGTGTGTGTGTGTGTGT